CAGCAATTCTTGGGAAGGGAGAGATTGTGCCATGGAGGTAGCTGGCTACCCTTCCCACAAAAAGAGAACAGCTCCACACCATAGACTGATCATGGGGACACAATCTGGCTCATAAATGGAGTGTTGCAACTGTTCTAAATGTCCTATACCATGTTAAGCCTCTAGCATAGTGTGTCTACAGAAAAGCCTTTTTTATTCCCTACTGAAAGCACAAAACAACCATGATAAAAGGAAACAAACTGGAGAACTAGAGACAACTGACTGGCCCCAATTAAAATATGGTTTGGTCTTGAAGCTAGATAGGAATAGATTGTGCAGTAGCCACACCCTACCCTACTCCTGTCACAATCAGGTCCCTCGGCACAATGGGTTTTACCAGGAAAATGGGACAGAAGCAGCTCCACCTCACATTCTGCTCCTCTCTCATTTGCATTTTGAATGGCAAGTGCCAGAGAACTTCCCGTTCAATTCTGCCTTTTGTTGACCTCTGGAAAAGCAACGGGTGGAGCCCATTAGCAGCACAAGCCAACACATGCCTGATTAAGGCAGGGCAGAATTCTTTTGAAATGGCTCCCAGCTAATACGCAAAAGCTATACTGAAGTGGAGCTAATGAATTATTCTTAGGCTTTGTTTACACCGGTAATTCAGTTTTGTCAGTTCACAAGTGCTTAACTCCCCCCCACGGCCAAAAGACAAAAGTTTTGTCTAGGAAAAGTGGCAGTGTAAACAGTTGGTAGGACACACTTCCCTGTTGACAAAAGTGGAACCCCACTTATCCCGGGTGGAAGAGAGCCCTGGCCCTAAAAGCTGTGTAGTGTAGACAAAACCTTAGCATGCCTCCTGGCTAAGCAGCATAGCCAGTGCCTGAAGGGACCAGCCCAGCACACAAGATAAAGGCTATTGGCCTTGTCCTCATTTAAATATGACAGGTCACATTTAGAACAAGCTAGCAACTGGGGGGTTATGTTAATCCCTGTTTAATCACAGTCTCTATGTACAGGTTATAAGTTCCATTCATACAGATGGGCCACAATACCTACATTGTAGCAATTTTTTTTAAGTCAGTGTACTGGTCCAAAATTGCTTTTCATTTAGAACCAGTTTACAGTTGTAGAGGAGTCTGGCCACACTTGCATTTAAGCATGATTTCAATGCTGCTAGGGTTGTTTATCCTGGGTAACAGAGGTCAAAAAATGTAAGCTCTTTATCCTCCTCCCCACCCCACTCCCTGAACTGAACAATAGGAATTGATAAATAGGGTTTTGCTAATTCCTTTTATGTTTCACCACTAGGTTACATACTATACCTGCCAAGTCACAATCTTACCTACAGAGATAATTTTTATATACAGGAGAATAAAATCCTTAATATTTATTTTAATGAGCTTGACAACTGTATGGGAGCAATTCTGTAAGAGCTATAATGGTCAGCTTTAATTGAGAGGGAAGATAGCAAATTTCATTAGGGCTTCAGAGCTACACATTTTAAAGATCCAACCTGTATCTCTTATTCTAAAGTCAAAGTCACTGACTTCTCCCCATGGGAGTTCTAAGTCCAGGGCTTGATCTTTAACATGCAAAGAGCTTGTTTCCAAGTATTCCACATGGGACCACTACTTTCTTAGTCATACACTCTTACTCAAATAGGGACAGTACATTTTTATATGATTGAATTGAAGCATCTTACAGAAATGCAGAGAAGGAAGTGGAGGCAAGAACCCTGCTTTGGATGTCAAAGAGTTAGGCCATATCTTCACTGACACTTTACTGTGCTGCAACACACACACACACACACACACACACACACACACACACACACACACTTTACGGTGCTGTAAAGCACCATTATAAATGGGCTCCCAGCACTGGGGGCCACACACAGACACACACACACACACACACACACACACTTTACGGTGCTGTAAAGCACCATTATAAATGGGCTCCCAGCACTGGGGGCCACGTCCCTCGTTTAGGTGGTTTATATAGAGCACTGGGACACCTCTCTCCCAGTGCTAGTGCAATGGCCACACTTTCACTTTAAAACACAGTGCTTTTGTGTTTTATTTAGCTTTAGATCAGTGAGTTCCCAACCAGAGGTGTGTAGTTCCCTGGAAGTACAGAGATCATCCAGGGGATACACTGGCTGACCTTAAGTGTGTTGTAAAATTAGATGAGTCAGTTTCCCTGTTCTACAATATCTATTGTTTCAAGAATACTCATCCCACAACTGCCTTTATTTCTGATAAGCACATTTGAACCTTGAAAGTTAGTGAATTGGTAACGATTCCTATTTCTTTTCTTAAAGTCCCAGCTCCCACAGTCATGTGATTATATGAGACTCACCTCTGCTTCATTAAAAATGGTTTTTAAACCTCAAGTTACGAAAAAACAACCATCACCTTGAAAACGTGACTAATGAAATTTAAGGGCTCAATGGCCACACACACACACACAAACACACCTTTTTTTCCTTTCATGATTTTTAAGTTAATCATATATTTTGGTGTTTGACTCAGGATTTCTGTATGCACTACAGCATAGTTGTGTCAGTCCCAGGATATTAGCAAGACAATAAATAAAATTATGTGGAGATTGCCCATCTCCTAGAACTGAAAGGTCATGGAGTCCAGTCCACTGCCTTCACAGCAGGACCAAGTACCATCCCTGACAAATTTTTGCCCCAAATGGCCTCCGCAAGGATTGAACTCACAACCCTCGGTTTAGCAGGCCAATGCTCAAACCACTGAGCTATCCCTCCCCCAATGTGGGCAAGGAAACTCTTTCATGGGACCAACCTCACTCACCTTGTCTCAGTATTTCTGAACATTTGAGAGGGATAATAATCCAACAGTTATTAGGAAGTTTTCAGTGTCAGGAAGATCTACCACATCATTTAACTTCATATTTCTTGAGTGAGGGATGAATTAGTACAACAGTACATCCTTTACTGTACAGCATTTTTTTAAGCTTATGCAAAGCTGTCTGAGGTATCCATCTGTTAACAATTTGCTGGATCAGGTGTTTTAACCTTGTTATGACTTTAAAGAACCATGATTTTAAGACTGTCCCCAACACCAGCTGCAGAAAATGTGGCCCTATTATAATACCTCAAGTTGGGTGCTTAAGATTTTTGCCAGTCTATTTACAAAAGCAAATGGACATAACTGTGGGTAGCTCATAATCTAGTTGGCTCAACCATCTTACATTTTTATCAGTAACTACACCCAAACAAAGCCACATTACAACGTTATGAAAATGATCAGCTTTATATCTATATATAGAACTCATTTGTTTGTAGCAAGATAAAAGGTAGATTTTGAAGCAATTTTTAAAAACTGGCACGTCTTTCAACTACAGAATATAAATAATGAATATGACCGGCTACCAAACACCCCTTGAGGGGAAGGTTAAAATCCTACAAACAGTTATGCTATATGCAGAGTACTGCCTACAGGACATGGACTTGTGGGTTCCCATTCCCATGCACAGCTGTCCAAATGGACCTCTCTCTGAATCATAGCCCCTTTCCTCCAACTCAGACAACTCTTTCCTGCCAAAACCTTCTCATCCCCACCTCCTAACAGATCTCAAATGCTCTGCTGAAGCACAGGTAAGTAGTACAGCACTCCATGCTTAACATTAGCTTTTTGTTTTTAGCATCTGTTAGTCTAGTCAAAACATTTTGCTTGTTAAAGTAAATTTCTCTTAGAGAGTACTGCTATAACTTAAGATATTTGCACTCTTGCATTGTCCTTTGACTGTGTAGAGCTGTTAACCTTTGAAAATAATCGCTGTGAACATGCAGAGCAGAAGAACCATAACAAGAATTTAATGTAACGTTTGTTAAAATCCACAGGTAACAGGAGGACGTGGAATTCACTTGCAAAAAACACTGTCCGTTGTTAACAGCCAGACATTTCATCTGAGACCATAACATGAAAATCTAGTGAGTTAACAGAAAGCATCAGGAGCAAATGCAGACCCTGAAGCTACCTACGTACAGCCCCTTGCAATTTGTGGCTTTATAGCCATTTTTCCCTGTTTTATGCTGTGTGTTTCTTTACACACTTGCTGCAATGAAGTCACACACACACAGGCGACATTGACCAGAGACCGAGGGACCAGTGGAATTGAACTATGTATGAAGGGCTTTGCAAATACCCAGAGCAAACAAGCTCAAACGAGTGATTAGAAGGAAAATATGTTTCTCTTCCAGTCTCAGCAATCAGCTATGACTTAAGAGCAGCAGAAAGGTTTACACACAAGTGCGAGTTAGAAGTTAGCTTTCTTTTTTTACATGGGAGAAATTGCGCGTACACCTTGTGCACTCTGGCATGTCCAGTACAAATCTCAGCAGACGAGACACTTGCGCGTGTCAGTGCAAAAGATTTGCACTGATAAACTAGCTTAATTGCTTCCAAAGCCAAACGTGGGGCTGGGCGAGAAATTATGATCTAGTATTTGATTCCCTTACCACTTTCAATTTAAAGCTTCAACGGGAATAGTCTGAACCAAAAAGCATTTCCATTGTGAGCGTCTTGGTGGAATGGAGAATATGCTCTTCAGCAGACCACCACACGCCCCAACATCGCAATTAAAAAGCCCTTTTGGATTTGTGTAGTTCTACAGTCATACGATGATTTGCAACGCCTGTAACTATGCAAGATCGTCTCTACAGAAGCTATTAGGAAACATGAAAGCCAGTGCAAAGCCAATTTTTTAACAGGTCTAATGTAAAAGACCGGCGGATAATTAAGTTAGTCTACCTTGGTTTCCGCTAAAATAATACCAGCCCCTTTTCATCAATCATCTCAAATGCTCACTTGCTGCCAATCACCCTTTTACTTAAGGGAGCACGCTTTGTGCTGGTTAGCTGTCAGCCAGAACTCTGCATGCCAGTGTCACACAGACGCCTCCCCCCGTACACTGGTGCAGACACAAGTAACACCGAAGCATTAGCAGCACAGACTCTAATGGGGACAGGCGCGGGCACTTACTTTTCATCCACATGAAGGCTTGGGGAGCACTTGATTGCGAGCCATGTTTTCCAGTGTACATGTCGCACTTTGTAAACTTGCCCAAATCCACCGGAACCAATCTTCTCCCAACAAACAAACTCACTGGAATCGAATGTTTTCAGCAGCCCCATTTCCCAAGGGGAACTGCTTTCTTTTTCCATGGTGCCCCCTTATTCCGCCCAGAGTGATTTCTCCAGCCTCTTGAGAATGTAGTGACAGACTTCTGCTTTCCTCTCGCCCACTATTAGCTACTCTGCCTTTCCCTAGCCAGGTGACTAAGGTGTATTCATTAACCAAACAATTACATCACTTCCTGAGTTCACTTCTTACTGTTGTGCTATCTGTAATCTGAGCAGACACAACAGTTCCAATCAGACCAACCATTCCAAATGTGGGTGTAACTTGGAGTTTTTACTGGACAAAAGTTGTAAAAGTGTATTCTGGGAAAAGTTAGTTAGCAGCTCTCATTTTATATTTGCCTCATCTTTCTTGTTTACAGACAAATATACCTACCTTTTCCTAGAGCACTAAGCAACTTTGTTTTCCATCACAGCTTCCCTAAAAATAAAACGATTTTGAATATTCACCTCATTCCTAGTTCATCAGCAGTTCCTAGGACAATTTATGACTATTACAGTATTCCCACAATAGAAAACTGCATGCAATCTGAAACCAATATGAAAAACTAATTTCTTCCTCTTTAGATTTCAAAACTCCTTACCCCCCCCCATAACAATATCCCTTTAAAAAGACAGTTCATCTCTTGCAGAGTCTTACACATTTGCTTAATTTTATGTACTGGAAAAATCCCATTAAGTTAAACAGTATTAAAGGTAAACTGCTGTTTTAGTCTTTGCAGCATCAGGACCAAATATGTTAAACCAAATATATTTCCTTGAATTAACCACACACCTTTAGCTATTAAAGCTTAATAAAACTGTTTACTGTTCACTCCGAATGCTGCATGTTTCAATGAATATGTACTAGTCAATGTTGTGCATTTTATAGCCAGTTTCTAGTAAATGTCATTTCCCAGTTCATAGGCACTAGCACAATGTTAACCTGTTCTATTACAGATATTGCAAGGAACAGATTCCCCACACCCCCTCTAGAATTTACAGCTAGAAAAGACCATTGTGGTCATCTATTCTGACCTACTACACATCACTGTTGCCAACTTTTGTGATTTTATGGCAAATCAAACTTCTTATCTTATCTTAAAGCCACAGGTAGTTACAGGAAAACCTTAGGTTCCATTTTTTTTAAAAAAAGTTAGTTTATAACCCTCTTGGTCTTGAAGATAAGCTTGCGAATGTGACCCCCAACACACAAAAACCAGAAAAAAATAAAAATAACCCAATATTTTTAAATCTCCTTATTTTAAAGCCATTCATAATTTGAAGAATCTGACACAATTTTTGAATAATACAGGTTGGCCATAGAATGTCACCTAGGAAAGTTTGTTTGGCCTTGCTTATGCAAAGCTGTCTATAAGGTATCCATCTGTTAACAACAATTTGCTGTACTAGGTGTTTTAACCTTGTTTGGCTTGTGGGGGGCGGGGGGGTCATCTTATTTAACTGGTCTTGGTTTTTTTTTACAAAGTATCAATTTTGGCCAAATTTGAATTGCAGGCATCAGGTGAGACTGTTTTATGTTTTAAACTTCTGATTGCCAAGTACAATTCAGCAAAATTATATTGTAGATACTTTATCATTCATCAGATATCTCATCTATCACTTACCAAAACGGAACTATTGTTGGCATGTCTCTGTATACATTTTCTATGACTAATGGTTATTATAATAAAATTGTTGATTTGGTTCAGCTGAGAGTTGACGAAAATAAATTTAGACACACAAAATTATTAAGTTTTAATCATAATGAGACAGATCCTAAAGTTGTTACTCATGACCTAATCCTGCAAAAACTATGACGGGCACCACTGATTTTAACAGGCATAAAGTTAAGCCTTTTTCTGTTATTGACTGTAGTCAATGGAAGCTTTGCCTGAGTAATAAAACTGAGAACCAGGCAGTAACTGTCTCCTCTGAGTGTGGGCAAGGGGATGAGGTGCTGGGTGCCCCCAATCACTCTCAGGGCGGAACTAATCACTCAGGCCAGATCTACATCACAAACATACAGCAGTGTAACTAGGTCACTTGGGGTCTGAAAAATCCACACCCCTGAGTGGCATAGTTGTACCAACCTAACCCCTAGTGTAGACTCTGCTACCTCAACAGGAGCAGCTCTCCTGTCCGCATACTAGCATATGCATTAAAGTACTGTTGTGACACAACGGCAGCTTTTAAAATATAGACCTGCCCTCGGTCAGTCTTTGGGCTTTCCTGAGGGCAGAGACAGTTCAGCTCCTGTCTTTCTCCTGACCATGGCACAAGCATTGGGGTGGGAGGCAGAGCAGTGCTCCATCAAGCTGGGGAGAACATGCTACACCTAAAGGAGAATAGCAGAGGGCGTGTTTCATTGCTTACTTAGTCACAGGAGACAAAAGCTTAGATTACCAAAGGACATAGGTGTTGCAACACTGAGTGGGAGGACAAGGCAGCAGCTTCCCATATAACCTTTAGCCCAGTCGTTGGTGTATTAACTAGGGATGCAGGAGATCCTGTTTCAGTCCCTCCTGCTGCCTGATAAGGAGGAGGGAATTGAATAAGGATCACCCATCCTCAAGGGAGAGCCTAATGACTGGAATACAGAGTGCGTTTTGTTCTGACTCTGCCCTATTCAAAGAGAAATGGCCTCAGCAAGAGAGATTGAGACCATGTCCACACCAGCGGTTACACTGGCCAAGCTTTTATTGCTCAGAGGAGTGAAAAAAACACACCCCTGTGAGCAATATAAGTTTTGCTGTGTGTGCAGATCTGTATCCAGTGGGAGGTGCTCTCCCACCAACATAGCTACTACCACTGCTTGTTGAGCTGATTTTCTTATATTGACAGGAGAGCTCTCTGCTGGTGGTGGTGTGTGGCTACCCAAGCACTCTTACTGTGGCACAGCTATATTGGTACAGCTGTGCCCCTGTAAGTGTACATATGGCCTGAGAGACCTCTAATCCAGCAATCCCATAGTGGTTGGGGCGCTCACCTCAGAAGCAGAGCAGCATGCTCAAATCCCTTCTCACCAGAGGAACTGAAGTGGGTCCATAGGCACATCCTTTCATTTTGCAGGATGGGTGCTCTACCCTGCTCCACCCTGAGCCCTGGTCTGCTCCTTCCCTCAAGCCCCAACCTTGTTCCATCTCTTCTGGACCCTGCACCATTCCCCCTCCCCAATGCCTCCTGCTTGTCCCTGAACAACTGATCAATAAGTGGCTGGTGGGTGCTGAGCACCCACTATTTTTTTTCTGTGGGTGTTCCAGCCCCAGAGCTCCCACAGAGTCTGTGACTACACTGCGCTCTCCCACCTCCTAGGTGAGTTCCCTAACCACTGGCTTAAAAGTTACGGGGTGGGGTTTTGCTGTTTTGGGTGGTGCTAGATATGCTCTAAATACATCTGCTAGATAGGGGCCCTACAAGGGAGGATACTGGAGGCACACCTATTTTCCCCTGCTTTGAGATGGCAGTGGAATTTAGGAACGAGACTGCACATATGCACTGCTTCCTTGGACAGGCTTCCAGATGCCCAAGGCCAAAATGTAAGTGCCCAGAAAACTGTTATAGCAAATATCTAGGTGCCAAGGGAGGTTAGGCACCTACAGAGGTAGATGGCAGCCAAACGGGATCGCAGTGGTGCCTAAATCTGAAAGTGCCTTTGCAGATCTGATCCAAAATGCTTCCTAGTGCTCTCACTCATAGGGTTGCCAGATGGTTTAACCAAAAATACCGAACACCCTCCCCACCCCCAAAGAAAAACACTGTTGAGAAAAAAAAAGTTATTGAGCAAAAAACAAACAAAGAAAAAAAACCCAGCATTGTCCCTCTAAGGCCCCCCCCCCTTTTTTTTGCCAGTGGCCATCTTGTTTTCTTACTCTGTGCGGGAAGAGAGCTCCCCTGCAGAACCAGGTAAGTGGGCAGGAGCTAAGCGAGGGCAGGGGCTGGGCCTGGTTGCTGAATGTAGTAGGGTTGCCAGGTGTCTGGTATTTTTGCCTCCTGACAGGAAAAAAAATCAGAAAATGCCAGACATTTTAGGTGTCCGGTATTTTCTGATTTTTTTTTACCAGGCAGGAGGCAAAAATACCAGACTGTCCAGGTCAGTACTGGACACCTGGCAACCCTATAAAAACTCAGCACCTTCCCAGTGCAGGGCTGTGGCAAAAAGCTACTAATAGACCCAACGAAAGACCTCAGAAACTGGTTGCTGAGTTGCTCATTCTTCATAATGTCCTGCTTTGTTTGAAGCTAAAAAAGCAAAGACCAGTTCTCAAGTGAGAGCAGAGGCTTTACATCAGTGATACATACACTACTCTCATGGTTGGGGAATCTGCAACTGTAGCAGAGATGGGCAGAGCCAAATCCTGTAGTCTTTATTCAAGCAACACTTTGAGTGAAGTCACTGGGCATATGGGTGTTTTGCTGGAGTGAGGGTTAATACTGTGATGTTTGACCCAAAGAGATGAAGGAAAATAAATGAGTCAGTCACCTTAATCCAAGCATGGGGCGATTGGGAGATTGGGGCTAGGGAGGGAGGCAGGATGCAATTGTTGTTATTGATTCTCTTTATTATAGTGCTCTGCTCTTGAAAAAACATAAAAGGTTTGAAGGTCATGATACGGGCCACAATCAATGTGCAAATATAATCTAATAAAGCAGATCTCTGAATTTTAAAATGGTTAACAGATTACTGAGCCTATTGTTCTGGCAGCTCATGTTTGAACTATTCAGTCTGGCAAATAAAATAGCAAACAGAAAGTGTGTGTGCCAAGTCTATTACTTAGGGATAGGGCCCCAGAGGTCACCTGAATTAAGACTTTGTTCCATTTTTGTCTTTGCAAAGAACTGTGTTTGAAAGGCATCTGTTTAAGGAATACAAAAAAAAAAAACCCAAACAAAAAACACCACCACCACAGCCTTAAAATGATTTTTGAACACCAAGTTTGGAATATAAGGGCTTGTCTATGCACAGAGTAGTTTTTGAATGAATGAGTGTTCTTGATTAACTCCGTGTGGATATTCTCATTCTGAACTGACAGTGCATAGTCTGTGTGTAAGGACTCTAATATTGAATGGAGGCCCTTCAAAATGGCATCGATAGCCTCTCTGTCACAGCAGTTACACTTTACCATGGTCCTTGAACAGAAGCATTAATGCTAAGGGTTACTCCACAGCAGCACAACAGCCATGACCCAACCCCCTGATTGGCTGAGCAGAAAACATTACCAGTGGCTACCTGGATGATAGAAAGACCCAACAGTAAGATGAAGTTGTCTGAGCAACTGGCCATTGCTACCTTACTCTCTCATCTGAATATCCCTTGCCAACTTCA